CTTTCCGGCAACATCTTTGGAAGTGCTATGGTGGGTTAACCAATTTTTACATATTCTATGTTGCAAGATTGAGCTATTGGCTGAATATCTGATCTTTGAGAGTCATTTGGCAGCTTCATCATGCTGGGAAACCCTTTTCTACAACTATTGCTCCAGTCACCTACTTGTGGCGACCTCTAACACAAATTGCTGTTAATAGAGAAGTCCACAAAGCGAGCTTGTGTGATGAAAAACAGAGCATTAACAATGGTGATCCCTTCCGCCAGCTATGGGTGTGGATACATGGTGCAGCTTTTAGAGAAGGTTATGATGCTTTAAGATCTGCCTGTGAAAGACAGATAAGGTTATAAAGGCTTCAAAATCTTCTACACTAATCTTTATGAATATTAGTTTACTCAAGTTAAAATTCTTTATCTTTTGAATGCAACATACTCAATTTAATAGCTTATTTTTTCCATAGACTTATTTGCATGGAAAAGATTTATGCATTCACTTCTTGAATTGGCTTTTTTATGCCACTATAGCTTGTGGGGTTCTAAAGAAATTTTTAGATTTCACGCATTTTCACGCATGTTGGTTTGGATGTCATCTATTTCTTTTTGCTTTACTCTGTCCTTGGGTTTCTTATAAACTACCATGAAAAACAGAACAAATTGAATCCCATGTCTACTCAATTTACCATCGCATTTTCTTTTCTAGCACAAGCTGATAACAGGTTTAAATTTCAGATGGATGTGACTGGTCATTCACTTAAATGTACCTCTCGTGAGGGCCAGCTTGGAAATTTGGAATTGATTGGATCAAATGCATTTCAGCTTCTTGGAAAGATACTGCAACCTGCCAGTTGGTGAGATATTTTATTTTGTAACTTGTATCATGTCAATCAAATTGTGCATTATCGTATGGCATAATGGTGTTGTGTGGCTGCAGTATCTCTGAGAGTTCTTGGCATCTGAAGAAATGTTCTGCTGATGAGGATGAGGATGAGGATGAAGAAGAATCAAAGAAAACATCCATCCTTAAGAATGAAGAGCAAATTTTATCTTCTGCAATTATTTCTCTCACTGTCAACGATCCTCGTACATTGTCCAGGAAAGCGATTGAAACTGTTTCTGAAGAAAAACCTCCTGGTCTTTTAGGTAAAAATAAAGAGCAAACAAGGTTGGAAAGGGATGCTCAGTGGCTCTCATTCTGCCCAAACAATGAAGACCATAGTGTAGCTGAGCGTATAGATTTGTGGGATGCCAGCGGAGGGATATGCCCTCCAGTGGAAGAAAGTGTTATCTGTGTGGAAAAACATCACCAGCGTAAGGAGTTTATTCGCCTTGGCGGTACACATTTGGGGATTCAAAATGCTTCCACTGAGGGGAATTCTTCTAGATTGTGTCCTATTCTGCTTCTAAAAAATGAGAACCTAGAGGGTTCTGTTATAAGGTAAATTTTACCTGTTCATGCAATTTGCTAAATCAGTTAGAATTTTGGCGATTGATTTTTTATTATGTCCATGGCTGGTTTTCGTCTTCAAATATGTACATGTATGCCTTAGAGAGGCTAACCTTTCCTCTTCTTAACAATCAGTCCAAGTTTCCGTTTCCCAATGAGCTTCTACTGTGTCGTAGAGAAAGAAGACCAGATTTATGTTTTTATTGATGAAAGCAAAATGGTTGAAGTGATATGCGTAGTCACATAAGTAGCATGAATCCCATCTTAGATTACTATTGGATAATGCATGTGGAGTGCCACTCGTGTGTATCTGAACTTATTGTTCTTTTGCTTATTAAATTTTTTTTTATAGTATAAACTACTACTGGAACTTGTAATAGTTATTATGTGTGTGTAATTTGTATGTAAACGATAGGAAATGTTTTAAGTAACTAATCATCTTGTTCTTGACAAATTTATTCAGGTGGTCTATTATTCTCCCTCTATGTTGGGTTAAAGCGTTTTGGATTACTTTAGTATCCAGTGGTGCTCATGCCATTGGTCTCAGAGAGAAGCACCAGATTGCTTGCGAAGTATTATTCCAGACTTCTACTTGTGCATAAGTTTAGCATAGAATTATCAAAATACTAACCGTCTCCTTGCCAATTTTGCAGGCTGGGTTGCCATATTTTCCTCTTGACTTTCCTAATTGCAAAGCGTACTCCCATTTTATGGCAATGAAGGCTGTTGCCTCTGATCAGAAATCCGATCTATGTCCTCCTTCCACAAGGCCCCCAAAAGTTCCAATACCCCCTCCATGGGATTGTGTCCGGCTTACTTTTGATAAAGAATCAAGTAAAGCTGGAAATTCTCAAAGTCAAGTTGAAAAATTTAGTGAAGAAGATGGTGGCCATGGTGTTCCATTTAAAGGCTTTGTGGCAAGGACATCCAATATGTTGATCGATTTTCTGAATAAACTTGATGCTAATCATTTACTTCTATTCCCAAAAATGCTTGATCAGAAGAATTGCATGTATAAGTACGTGAAGGATAAAGACATTCTTAAACAAGACGCTGTTAACTCAGAAGTAAATACTTGCAAAAAGGAGTGTTTTCTCCGAGTTCTTCTGTGTGCTTTCAAGGTAGGCATTTTTGAACAAGGAGCTGTGGTTTGCCGTTTGTGCACCTCATATTACGGACGTGTTGACATTCAGGTTGTCCTCATTTTTCATTATACTTGTTGCATTCGTCTTTTATCCTCTCCTTCTGTACTATATGATTTTTTCCGTAAATCCTCTCTGAAAAAGATTTTGTAATTCATGCAGATCAAAAACTAACGGAGAACTTCAGTTACCTCAGTATTCATTGCAATCATACTTTGAACAGAAATCTGGAGAATGGGAACTTCAAGTACCACAGGATCTGGCAGTTCAAGAATCCTATAGGTGGCCCATCGGTTTCATTACAACTGGCTTTGTTCGGGGAAGGTAATTGTTGCTTACTCCTATAACTTGACAGGCTTATTGTCTCACCTTCCGGTAGTCATATTTGGATAAGTTGCTTTCTTTCCGTACTTTTAAATAACAAGGTAATTTAAAAGTAACTCTTAGTATATTTATTTTGCTGATTTCTTATAATTTAACCATTGAAATATTGTGTTCTTAAACATGCAGCAAGAAGCCAGTTGCGGGTGCTCTATGTGAGGCAACCTTACTCTCTAGGCTTCGAGAGGAACAATGGAAGGCACTGCCTGTTAGGCAGAGGAAGAAGGAGATCTATGTTCTTGTGAGGAATTTGAGATCCACAGCATACAGACTTGCTCTTGCTACCATTGTACTAGAACAGAAGGAAGAAGATATCAAGTTCATGTGATATTTTCTCA